GAAATCTGATGCCCTCCTCCTTGCAACAATTCTCCAGCTACACATTAAACTGAACAATCCTCCAACTCCTGTGCGCACTAGTACATGGGACACAATATTCCTGGGATTGCTGCTTTTGAGTCTTAGTTATTTTCGAACTTCCTAAAACTTTTTTTTTTTTTAAAAAAGGGGCTCATCTTTCTCATGCTGTTGGTACAATCTGAACTCCAACTCCAACCGTTCACCCTCACACATGATAAAGTCCTGCAGTTGTTATCCCTGGCCCTGGTATCAGGGAACCAACATACCATCCAGGAGTCACATCTATGACTACAGAAACATCTGTTTGCTCCCACAATGAACCTCCCTATCGTTCCTATCCTTCAACTCTTCTTTGGCCCTCCTGTGAAGCTGAGCTACCTGTGGTAGTAAGGATTTGGTTTTTGCTTATTTGCAGATTTATTGCCCTCACCAGCATCCAAAATGGAAAACTACTTAACAAGGAAGATTGTGCAGAAGTCCCTGAGACGATGAGACAGCTTAGTAGTCATCTTGTTCCAATCCACCTGCATGCTCATAACAGATGGTGCAACTTCCTCCCTAAATGTGCTGTCGACAGTTCTGTGACTTGCAGTGCACAGCATTGGATTTTGGAAATCAGACAACTGAAATCAGAGGTCAAGTTCCTGCACCTCCAACAGCTATGTTGGTCAAGGACACATGGTACATCCACGACTTCCCACATACCACAGGAGAGACACTGCACATGGTCAAGCTGCCCTATCATACCTTAAATTATTCTAATAATGAATAGTTTTATGAGTAAAGGAAGTTAAAATCAAATTCTTCCCTGTATAGAAATAAAACCTAGAGATAAAGAAGGCTACAAAAAGGAGCACCTCTTTCCCTTAATTCTCCCATGTAAACTCACAACTTCACTCTGTTCAGCCACGTTCTGCCCAAGTTACACATAGATCCCTAAATTCACACTACACAAAGCTTAGATGGGTCACCTGTGCTACAGCTAAACAAAGCAGTTTAAACCACTTTTAATTTCAGATGCTCTTTAGCGGAGAGCTTGGTTTCTAGTTGTAGGCTACTGAGGGAACGACGAATAAAAAAAGGATGACAACATTCTCTCAAGCAGGACACAATGATTTAGCACTAGATCAACTGCAGTAAACTAAATCAAATGGGTGTGCAAGAATATGGTGATTACAAGGTAACCATAAATCAGGACATTATCCACCCTATAGCTGGTTAGATGGAGAGGGCTTATTCACAACGTTGCCAGGAAACCAAATATTTTCAAAAGTTAAATCTGACAAATGCCCATCTGGGATTTGTATTACTGGAGTCTAAATCTTAAATGATCACCAATGCAGAAGTCCATTGCAGGTCATGAGCTGCCATTTTGTATATCTTCAGCCCTTGTAATTTTCCAGTTAGAACAACGTAACTTTGCAAGGAATTCAGGGTCTGCTACTTGGATGACACAGCTTATTTCAGCTCCAACAGGCACACCCATAATAATAGACTGAAAAAGGTGCTCCCATGTTTGATAAGACATATGCAGTTCAACTGAAGGCATACAAATGTGAAATGCTTCAAATACCTGTACAGTACTTGGGACATAGGGTAACCAATTATGAGTTAAATCCTACCAAGGTTAAGGTTTAAGTAATAAATGTGCTACACCCTTGGAACGTTTCAGTTCAGATCATTATTGGTTGAGTAAATTACTGCAGTAAATTCATACCAGATTTGGCAACATTGTTGCATCCGTTGAATCATCTCAAGGAACTCTGTTCTATGCACTTAGATGGAAGAGTATGGCAGAGTGCTGAATTTGCATAAAAGCCAATGTGTAGAGGCTTTGAGGCTGACATTACAGTATTTTCAAATTAAGCTAAATATGAAGCTTCTCAACGTGGAGTAGGTGCTGCAATCTTTCATGTACTGATAGTGTTGAGGCGAGACCAACTGTATTTGCTTATCATGGTACTAATGTTAAAATTGTGCTTAGAATGTGAAATACTGACTTTGAATTTTGGACAAAAAAAACGTCATAAATACTTGTATGCTCATAGCTTTACAATTTAAACTAACCATAAGTCAGTGACAGTCATGTGGAAACCAAAGTCTCCAGTATCCACTTTAGCTACACCTGAGTTTTGAGATTGGGTTTGATTTTGTTTGCTTATAAGTATAATATTAAATATAGATGATCTGTAAGAGACCCATAAGAAAAGAAGCATTTTTTTCTTTTCATACCTAGATCAGTTGGTAGTCACAGCAAATACTGTTGGTAGAACAACTCGTGGCACTCTGTGTTGACAAGAGTGGACAACTACATCACAAATGGATAGCCAAGACAGATTTAGGAATGTAGGAACCAGGCCATTGTTACGCATACGAATGAGTTGTCAGATGGTAGGGTTGTATCACCCAGAGGAGCCAGAATTGTAAACCCTGAAATATAGATTGTGCAGTTGCAATGTTAATCGAGAAGACTGCACTTAGGAATGCGTTTGAGAAAGAGGTGAATGATGGGCAATCTTTGGTAACTAGGTTCCAAAAGGCCACGGTAAAACACAATGAAATGCTGTAGTATACATCAAGCCGCAGTAAAGCATCTGCTTTCAGTACCTTTAAAATAACAGAAATGGCGACCTGTGTGTTAGGCCTGTACATAAGTTTCATAGAATTTGAAGAGCAAAAGTTATTTATGGTGACAGATAAGTCATGGTAAAGGAGCTTCTGATGTATTAAATGACAAATTGTAAAAATCCAGATTTCGGTTAGTTCGCTGCTTATGTGTTCCCAGAAGTAGTTTTATTTGACAATAGTCCTGAGCTTTGTTAAGAATTTGCAAAATTAAAGACAAACAAAGACGAAGACAACAGAGCTCCATTATATCATCTAGCTTCCAATGGAACGGCAGAGCAGTGAGTTCAAACTGTCAAGATTGCTTGTTAGACAAAAATCTATAAATAATGCAGGTTTTCATTGGATTAAAACTTTCTTTACCCATATCAGATCTCAACATTACAATTGGCAGACCAGCTGAATCGGTTTTAGGGATATAGCCTCAAATGAATTTTTCATTTGTGATGCCACATTTACCACACTAGCCCTATCAGGTCTTGATCGTTGCTGTTCAGGTGAGAAACAGTCAGACATAAAGATTGTCATGATAGGGACACAGTGAGTGAAAGACGACATTGAGTCAAAACTTTTAGTCTTGGACTCACTACAACCAAAATGCAAGAAAATCAGTTTTAGAAGAGAACAGAATATACATCATGAAGAGGACGTTGTATAGTTGGACCATAGTTGGCAAGGAGATGCTGTAGAAACTACTTACTGGCTCAATTAACTGCTTGAATTCAAACTTTGTAAATTGACTAATTGGTTAGAGTGCTGCCTCATGGAAGCAGTAGGGATTGGCTGCATCCATTGTCCTTTGCTCAGTAAAAACAAAGAAGTGTGGTCATATTCCACTTACATTGCAAAAACAGGGCCCTATCTGCTAACAAATATAGCTTCTAGCATGCACAAATGAATCACTATGATTCTAAAAATAACTTATTTAATACAGCTGTGATTTAACTGTTAATCTTAAATTGATTTCCAGTATAATTGGTGCAGTCAAGACTATTTGGTACAAGTTTTCAACTGCATAATCACATGGAAAGACACAGGGTTATGAGTTTTGAGAGCACAGGCTAGTTGAGCACAATCAGCACGTGGTCAAACAAATCTATTGTTTGACAGTTCAGATGTCACTGGGAAGCATGACCTACATACTTGTCAGAAATGTGAAGTTGAACCAGGCTAGAATGCACAAGTGATTTAAGTGGCTACCAGGAAGAGTTGCGAAAATATATGGTCCTCACACACATTTGGTCAACATGCTTAGCAGCAGAAAGGTTACATTTTAACATGTGGATCAAGTTTCAACTTCACAAGTTTATGAAAATGAAGTGAGTTGGGAAGAATCAAATAAGTCTGATGAATCAGAAAGTTAGGATAGAAGTAGAGAACCAATAGTTACACTAATGCAAGTCATGCCGGAAACCAGCTCAAATCCATGTCAGAGACATACAGACATGTTTGATCAAGTCAAAAACTTAACTGTACATCTAGGTCAGAATCAGTTGGAGGAAACGTCTCCTCAGATTCAGTTCAATGTGGATCCAGGGTCTTCCCACAAATTCTGAAAGTTTCAGTTATGAAGTGGGCAACGTTTTAGGAATACGACACCAGTGGCTAAGTTTGATTGATGAATAAGTAAAAAGAAAGGATTAAGAATGTGGGGAACTTTAAAACACATTGCAACCTTTCCATTAGAGGAAGGAGTGCTACAGCACCCTCATGTGGTCATTTGTCCAAGTATAAATGACAAAACTAGATTAAATTGGTCTGCTACTGAACCATATTGTTTATATGATTTTGTGTACAAATATATGCTAACCAAAATTTAGATAAATTGTTAATTTTATCATACAACTTAATTTACATCAGAAAGAGCCTGTAATCCACGTAGCTGTAGAAAACTTATTAAAAAAAAGAATCAGTACAGCTTTTCTTTCTAATAAAAATATTTTCATGCAGTCAACATCAGTAACATTAGTTTTGTTTGCAGAGAGTATAAATTTGTTTATACCGGCTCACAGAAAAGGTAACCTATTCCAAGCTTAAAAATACATAGTTGAATTAAATGTTATGATCAAGAATACTAATGTGGATTCATGTCAAATGAATCTGCAGAAATTTTTCTGTGATAACATGGATGCAAGAACAGACATTGATATGAAAAAACACAGTTGTACAACTACCCATTTTCAATGAACACTACACAAGATGGTATTTTATGAAAAAACTTTAGAAGTATTATGGTGACAATGCAATGCCCTTTATCTTTGAGACAGGAATTTAGCAGTCTTCAACATAAATTGTTGTAGGAAAAGAACATTCCTGCACCTGACTGGACAAACAAGATGCGAACAAGCACTCACCCTGTAGCCCTCAAGGTCACGCATTTGAATTTGTAGAAGGGAAAGGTCTCTTAAAATCTGAAGATTGTCTTTGTCCCATTTTAGAGCATTCCGGTAGCATTTGATAGCTTCATCGTATTTCTTGTCGGATCTCTGAAGGAGACCGTAGACGTGCCAACCTTTGTCATGGTCAAGAATAACAGCATCTGCATTTTCGTGAGTTCCTACTTACAAAGACTGCATATTACTACATGGCTGAACATAAATGTTACGCAGATATAATTTTCCACTGAAACAAGATCCCTCTCAGGTTTTAAAGATATTGAGCATTAAAGACAACGATGTCTTAAACTACAAAAGGAAACAGCACCAGGAGTATTATGTATGAGCTAAAGTAACAGCATTCTATTATTGAATACTGACACTAAACATGAAAATGCAACGTTATTAGAGGCTAGTGACTGGGTTTGGTAATCTATCATTAAAAGCAATCAGGTTACAGCGATCTGCAATATCAGCAGTTACGACAGCTGCATCAGCATGCCACAAGTAATAATAGTCAAGTTGCAAACAACCAGCAGCTGCTACATGCCCTTGGTGGAAAAGATCTGTTGAATTCTGGATTTAAGATGAAACTCAATTTTCAACATATAAATTATACACAACAAATTACAGTTGTGAAAGCACAACGTTTGTTTAAAATGATGGCCTCTCAGGGGAGCATAGGAATAACAGCTGGTAACACATGACTAGCTCTACTGTAATTTGGAGTCCATCAGGTTCCAAGCGATCCATTGTACTAGGGGACTCTCTAGTCTGGGGCACACACAAATGTTTCTCTGGCCGTCAGCGAGATATCAGTATGGTATACTGTCTCCCTGGTGCCAAGGTCAAGGATGTCTTGGAAAAGGTGCAGAATGTTCTTAAAGAGGAGAGTGACCAGCAGGAGGTCATCGTGCACTTTGGTACCAATACAGGGAGGGAAAGGGCTGAAGTTCTGTAGACAGAATATAGGAAACCAGGCCCCCGAGGGTAGTAATATCTGGACTACCACCAGTATCGCATGCTAATGAGAGCAGGAATAAGAAGATAGAGCAGATGAATGCACGGCTGAGGAAGATTTGCATTTCTGGAACATTGGGATCCCTTCAGGGGTAAAAATGACCTGTGTTGGAAGGGGATCAATAACCTTGCTGGGAAATTTGCTAGTACTACTTGGTAAACTTTAACCTAGTAGGGGTGGTGCAGTGTGGGTATGGGAACAAAAGCGATAGTGAGAAAAGCAAGAAGGTTGAGGCTGGTTCAGTAGATAAGGGCAGCAAATCTAATAGTCAATGCAGACAAGAGCTTGGCAACAAACATGGTAATTGACGAATTAAACTGCATTTACTTCAATGCAAGAGGCCTAGCAGGTAAGGCAGATGAACACAGGACTGGGAAATCATAGCTATTACAGAACATAGCTCAGGACTGGCAGCTTAATGTCGTGGGGTATTGGAAGAATAGAAAGGGAGGAAAGACAGCAAAGGGAATGGCGTTTTTGGTTAGTGAGAATGTTACGGCTGTACTTAGGGAGGATATTCTTGGGAGATCATCTAGTGAAGTTATATGGGTGGAAATTAAAAAATAAGAAAGGGGTGTTCACCTTGTTGGGATTGAATTACAGACTTCCCAATAGTCTGTGGGAAATTGAGAAACAAATATGTAAGGAGATCTCAGATATCCATAAGAACAACAGAGTTGTAACAGTACGGGATTTTAACTTTCCAAACATAGACTGGGACTGTCAGTGTTACGGGCTTGGACAGGGAGGAATTTGTTAAGCGTACGAGAAAATTTTCTTGTACAACACATGGACGTACCTATTAGAGAAGGAGCATTACTTGACCTTCTGTTGGGAAATAAGAAAGGGCAAGTGACTGAGGTGAGTGAGGGAGCACTTTGGGGCAAGTGATCATAATTCTATTAGTTTTAAATAGTTATGGAAAAGGATAGAATCAAAGAAAAAAGTTAAAGCTCTAAATTGGAGTAAGGCCAATTTTGACTGTAGTAGCCAGGAACTTTGAAAAGTTGATGGGGTGGAGGGGCATTCACAGGCAAAGGACTGTTGGAAAGTGAGGCGCCTTCAAAAATGGGATAATGAAGAGTTCTGAGACAGTATGTTTCTGTTAGGGTGAAGGGCTAGGCTGGGAGGTATAGGGAATGCTGGATGACTAGAGAAATTGAGGCTCTGGTGAACAAAAAGGAGGCATACATCAGGTACAGATTGCTGGGATCGAGAGAATCCCTAGAAAATTATAACGGCAGTAGGAGTATACTTAAGGAGGAAATCAGGAGGGCAAAAAAGGGAATATGAGACAGCTTTGGCAAACAGAGTTAAGGAGAATTCAAAGAAATTCTACAAATACGCTAAGGGCAAAACAGTAACTCGGGAAGAGAATAGGGCCCCTTACATATCAATATGGCTGTCTATTTGTCGAACCACAGGAGATGGGTGAGATACTAGACAAATATTTTGTGTCAATATTTACTCTGGAGAAGGACATGGAAGTTAGGGAACATGGGGAAATAAACAGTGGTGTCTTTAAGAAAGTCTATACTACACAAGACGTGCTCACGATCTTAAAACACAAAGAGTATATAAGTCCCCTTTTTCAGATAAGTGCTTCCCAGAACTTTGTGGGAAGCTAGTGAAAAGATTGCTGGGCCCCTTGTTGAGATATTTGCATCATCAATAGCCATGAGCGAGGTGCCGGAAGACTGGAGGTTGGCCATATGGCACCATTATTTAAGAAAGGCTGTAAGGAAAAGCCAGGAACTATAGACCGGTGAGTCTTACATAAGTGGTGGTTAAATTGCTGGAGGATTGCGAGGGACAGGATTTATGTGCACTTGGAAAGGCAACAACTGAACAGGGATAGTCAGCATGATTTTGTGCGTGGGAGATTGTGTCTTACTAACTTGACTAAATTTTTTGAACAGATGATAAAGAAGATTGACGAAGCCGGGGGTAGACGTTATCTATATGGACTTCAGCAAAGCATTCGACAAGGCTCATGATAAACTGGTTAGTAAGGTTAGATCACATGGGATCGGGGGAGCTAGCCAATTGGATACAAAATTGGCTTGAATGTAAAGTACAGAGGGTGGTGGTTTAGGGTTGTATTTTGGATTGGTGGCCTGTGACCAGTGTGTGCCACAAGGATCATTTTTGTCATTTCTATAAATGATTTGGATGTGAATATAGGAGATATGGTTAGATGACACCAAAATAGGTGGTGTAGTGGACATTGAAGAAGATTATCTGACAGTACAAAAGGACCTTGACCTTGAAGAATGGCAGATGGGAGTTTAATTTAGATAAATGTGGAGGTGCTGTATTTTGGTAAGGTAAACCAGGGCACAACTTATACAACAAATGGTAAGGCCCTGGGGTGTGTTGCCGAACAAAGAAACCAACGGGTGCAGGTGGACAGTTTCTTAAAAGTGGAGTTGCAGGTAGACAGGGTGCTGAAGGGGGCCATTGGCACATTTACCTTCATCAGTCATAACATTGGGGTATAGGATTTGGGATGCCATATTGCGGCTGTACAGGATATTGGTGAGGCCATTTTTGGAATACTGCATACAATTCTGGTCGACCTTCTGTTGGAAATTCATTGTTAAACTTGAGAGGGTGCAGAAAAGATTTACGAAGATGACGTTGTCAGGACTGAAGGGTTTGAGCTATGGGGAGAGGCTGAATAGCCTGGGGCTATTTTCCCTGGAGCGTTGAAGGCTGAGGGGTGACCAAGTGCAGGTTTATAAAATCGTGAGGGACATGGATAGGGTGAACAGCCAAGGCCCGTTTCCGAGGGTGGGCAAGTCTAAAACGAGAGGGCGTAGGTTTATGGTGAGAGAGGAAAGATTTAAAAAAGACCTGAGGGATAACTTTTTCACACAGAGGTTGGTGCATATATGCAACTAGCGGCCGTGGAAGTAGTGGAGGCAATACAATTACATTTAAAAGACATCTGGATTGGTGTATGAATAGGAAGGGTTTAGAGGGATATGGGCCACATGCTGGCAAATGGGACTAGGTCAGATTGGGATTTCTGATCAGTGCAGACAAATTGGACTGAAGGCTTTGTCCGTGCTGTATGACTATGTCATTACGATTGAATAATATCAGCCAAGATGGCTACTCTACAAAATAACAGCTCTTCACACTGAGATACTGTAGCACGACCAGGAAATTAGCTTCTTTGAGTTCACAACTGTAAAAGTGAAGCTTGCAACAAGACATATTGTACCGAAAAGATGGATTTTGAGGGCTTGGGATGCAAGCATTTGATGTTTTATTGCGGCAATATCAATTATTATAAAACAGGTTTGACAGCCTGGCCATGGCTAACAAGGGAAATTACAAATAGCATTAGATCCAAGAAAGGGGCATACAAATTGGTCAAAAGCAGCAGATCTGAGGATTGGTAATAGTTTAGATTGCAGCAAAGGAGAAGAACGGGAATGATTAAGAGGTGAGGGGATTAGAGTACAGGAGTAAGCTTGCGGTGAACATATAAACTGATTGTAAAAGCTTCCCTAAGTATGTGAAGAGAAAAGGATTAGTGAAGAAAATGTACATTCCTTACAGTCATGAACAGAGTAAGGTATAATGGGATTCACAGGTAATGTCTCAAAAATGTTGGGGCACAAAGGGTATAGTAAGAGGGAGGAGCTGATGAAAATCAGTATGAGAAGGATAATGGTGTTAAGGAAACTGATATCAGCAAAGGCTGATAAATCCCAGGGCTTGATAATCTATATCTCAGTAGTAAAGAAGTGGCTCTAGAAATAGTGGATGTAATGGTGGTCATCTTCCACGTTTCTATATACTCTGGAACAATTTCTATGGATTGGAGGAATTGTGCATGTAATCTCTAGTTAAAGATGGAGGTAGCAAGAAAACAGGAAATTATAGACTGGTTAGCCTTACACTGGTAGAGGGGAAAATGCTAGAGTACATTATAAATACTCAATAGCAGATAACTTGCAAACAGTGACAGAATCAGACACAGCATGGTTTTACAGCAGGGAAATCATGCTCGACAAACCCAGTGGAATTTTCCCAGGATGCAAATAGTAGAGCTGATAGGGGAAAGCATTGATGTGGTTGACATGGACTTTCACAAGGTTTGCAATAAGGTCCCATGCAAGAGCTTAGTATGTAAAACTTAAATGCTTGGGATTGCAGGTTTGGTAGACAGGAAACAAAGTAGGAACAAATGAGTCTTTTTCGGGTAGTAGACGGTAGTGGGGAACTACAGGGTTAGTGCGATTCATAATCTATCAACAAGTTTGCTGACAACAAAAACTGGGTGGGAGAGTGAACTGTGAGGAAAATACAGAGATACTTTTGTATGTTTGGACAAATTGAATGAGTGGGAAAATGAATTGCAGATTAAGTATAATGTGGATAAATGTGAGATTATTTGATAGATGGCAACAGGGTGTAAAAGAGAGAAATGCAATGAGACCTGGGCATCCTTGTACATTAGTTATGAAAGTAAACATGCAGGTGCAACAGGCTGTCAAGAAGGCAAATGGTATGTCGGCCTTTATAACAAGAGGATAAGAGTACAGGAGCAGGGATTGTACACAGCACTGATAAAACTACAACTGGAGTATTGAGAGCAGCTTTGGTCTCGTTATTTCAGGAAGAACGTTCTGGGTATGGAGGGAACGCAACAAGGATTTACAAGACTGATTCCGGAGATGGCAGGACTGGTGTATGGAGAGACACTGGAATGGTTAGGACTACACTGACTGACATTGAGAAGAATGAGGGCTGGATCTGATAGAATTTTAAAGATTTCTATCAGGACTATACAGGGTAAATGCAGGGAATATTGTTCCTGATAACCAGGAATCCAGAACCAGAGATCACAATCTAAGGATATGGGGTAGTCCATTCAGAATGGAGATAAAGAAACATTTCTAAAGCCAGAGTGGTGCGCATGTGGAATTCTCTGCCACAGAAAGCAATGGAGGCCAAGACAATGTTTTCAAGAAGAGGCTAGATACAGTTTTTAGGGCTAAAGAGATCAAAGATAATGGGAGTTACAAGGAAAGGCTGGTACTTCTTTCCGGAGTGTAGGAGGCCGAGCGGTGACCTTATAGAGGCTTAGAAGATCATGAGAGGCATAGATAACATGAATAGCCAAGGTTTTTTGCCCGTTCTACAGGAGTCTAAAACTAGAAGGCATAGGTTTTAAGTGAGCGGGAAAAGACTTAAAAGGGACCAGAGGGACAACTTTTTCCAGAGGGTGATGCTTATTTGGAACAAGCTGCCAGAGGAAGTGGTTGAGGCAGTACAACTACAACATTTAAAAGACATTTGGACAGATACATGGGTAGGAAAGTTTTAGAGGGCAATGGGCCAAATGCAGGCAAATGCGACTAGTTCAGCTTAGGAAACCTGGCCTGTATGGACAAGTTGGGCTGAAGGCTGTTTCTGTGCTGTATGACTCGATGGAAGAAAGTGAAAACGGTACTGAGTTATAGGACCAGCAATGATCATTCTCAATGATGGAGCAGGCCTGAAGACCTACTCCTGCTCCTATTTCTAGGTTTCTATATTGTAAAAATGCACTGGTATTATAGGCATTGGTATTTTTGATGGTGTATTAATTTAGAACAGGATTAACCATTGAAGTGACTTTTTAAAAAAGCTAATATCTTGGAGCCAAATATTCATTCCATACAAACTTGACCAAATAGGAGTAGGCCATTCAGCCCTTCAAAGCAGCTGGTGACAAAATAAGGATTATCAATTAACAAAGACCCCAATTTTAACTTGGTAGACATTTGGGTAGTTACATAAATTAGAAAATAAGATGGAGAGACTGGGCAGGAGGAAAGATGATGCCAGTCCAAGGGGGCACTTCTGCTCCATGAGAACATACACTGTCAGCCTTTTTGGAGGTCATTTTACTTGACTAGCCATTAAGGAGCTCAAAGACCTGTATCTAGCGAGTAGCTGAATTTTACAATCACAGATGTCAGTTATCACAGTTGGCTGTACAGGTGCTTTGCAAAACAGAGTGACACCAACAGCTTAGGTTCAACTCTCTCACCTTTTAAGGTCATCAGGAAGGTCCCATTTTCTTGACAGCCCCACCTCCCCCCACTCTCTCGTCAGAGATGTGATGACCCTCAGATTAAACCACCACCAGTAGTCTCTCTCTCTCTCTAATGGGAAAGCAGCCTTAATGTAATCTGGGACTACAGCAACTATCACAACCATTATCTGCTGTACCTTTTCGCAAAACAAAAAACATACTAAGAAAAGGATACAGACATGACTCTTCAGATCATTGCGAAGGCCTCGCCGCACATACTCATATGCTTCTTCCTTTTTTCCCAAGCAGTTTAAAGTCAAACCCTTCATCGCCAGCGTCTCTGTAAAATTAAGTGTACTGAATGTATCACCGCTTGTTCAACAATTTTGTTATAAGATCACAGGTGTGCTTTGATTCAAATCACACATGATAATTCTGATCGCCAAACTTAAAAGAATTCAGTTTAAGCATTTCTTCTGATGTTCTCTAACCAGTATTTATTTACCATTAATTAACACAGGTCTAGAGTGTGTCAGCATCCTTCCTGCAAGTTTCTGTTTCTCTTAAGTCCAATACTACATAAAGAAAACTGATCTTTAGTTGTTTCCTCTAAATTTTACTGTCACACCTCATAGATGGGCATCAAACTGGAATGATAATTATGCCACTTACAGAATAAGTGATCACATCTAACTCAATTTTTCTTCAAAACCAAAGTTCACCATGCAAACAACATTGCTAAGTATTTGTAACAAGGACCATATTTGCATAAAGTAGTTTTGTTAGAATGAAAACATTGACAGTGGTAACTATTCACTACAAACATTAACAGTCACGTGAGAATGTGACAAACCATTACTTGGCAATTATCTAATTCTGAGTAACTCCTTGTCACAAGGAATTTAAGTTCCAAAATGAATAGAAAAACAGTGCTAAGCACTTTCAAGATTTCTTGCTATCATTACTTTTACCTTCTTTTCTGCCCTCAATCAATGACCTCTTGTCAATGTAGCTCAGTGTTACAGTAAGTGGTGCTTTTATCATTTAGGTCATCAGGAGAGCAGATCTTACAAACTTCAACAAGTACAGTACACTATCTGCCTCAATACTATTACTTATTAATAATTTCACAATATGATAATTGAAAAATCATAACATCATTGAGCAATTTTACTCGAGTGCACCTAAATGCAGCTTCAAAATTAACTGTCAACCTGCTTAGGTACATCACAGAAGAGAAAGCTATTGTGCTTCATAGATGTAACATCAGACCCATCAGATTTTTCTATCAGGTTAACATAGGTCAATTAGCACTCTCAGTGAAAGAATAATTCAGGCTCTGGTACTAGTTAAGATTAATATAACAAGAATGAAATATGCCATATCCTGATGGGCTTCCATCTCACCAAGAACTTTGAAAAAGCTCTGTCTGAAACACGGACCCTATACAGGTTTTCACTTAGTTCTCTCTGCCCAGTACAGCATAACAACCACATGCACAAATATCTTCTAACTGGGGGAATCTCTCTCATTGTTGGAGATCAAAAGACTGCAGTGATGGAAAGCTAAACTCAAATCTCAATGCATAACTTAAGTGGAAAGTCCAATCCAAGAACCAAATTAAATAGGCCTATCATTTAGATTAGCTATTTGCTGCCTCTTCGAGAGGAAAGTGGCTTTGTATCCTCCATTTCTATTTCAAAGATGTTGAAGCCAGCTGGAGTACCTCTACTACTGAGCTGAACATTTTTGCACAGATCAGGTGATGAGCCTAGCAATACTAATGTTCTGTTTAAAAAGAAAACAGCAGACATAACATTAAAAAAACAAGTGATGGAAATGCACAGAAGTCAGTGTTTATCTGTAGAGAGGAAAGATGGGCTGACATTTCCTCAAAATTATAAGTGTATACTCCTAGTTTCTAGTGTTGGATTCTTCACTTAGTGCAAATAGTCATGGAACCAGAAGGAACAAGTACATGCAACTTCGATATGGCATTAATTGTATTTAGCAGACAAAAACTCAAATGTCAATTGAAACCAAGAGTTCAACCACAAATCTATTGAAATAATTGATGTGAATTTTGTTTTCAAACAATTACAGCATACTTTAACACGTTATTTTTGGATAATTTCTGTAAAATTGTAAAGAGAACATTTATAAGTTCCAACTGTAAAACAGAATCAGTTGTAGATCATCTTAGTGAATTGGAAGGATCAGTTGAATACGTTTTTCACCATCTTGGACAATTGCAGAGCTGCTGACCTTAAATTCAAAACAAAGCTGGACTGTTTAAACACAAAAAGTGGAACAAACAGCTCCAGTATCATACAGTACAGAGAGACAACAGTAAAAATCCAAATATTACTTTGTAGGAAATAATGAAGTGCGACTCATTTCAAATAAATAAATTACATACAAACAAGGTATTTGGAATAGCTTTCAAAGCATTAAATATTACATAACTGATAGTAATTTTCAACTAGTTACTTGTAAAATGGTTGGGCCACAAACATTCCATTTTCATCGATGAGCAATCAAAGCAAGGATGGTATTACTTGGGTTTGTTGATTATGAGGGATGTATAGTAACCTCACTGGCAAATTCATGCAACTGGATATCTGGCGGGAACAGGACTGGCCTGCTTAAAGCCAGGAGCAAGAATCACATGAGTAAACTCTTGACCACGGTGCAAGTATTTCATTCCTTCTCCTCCTACCGACAAGCCATGCAGGAGGGAAAATGCACTGGTGAGGTTGAATTGAATTTCAAAATAGATCAAGGCCATTGTGCCTATATGTTTTGGAACACATTGGAAACAGGAAAAGATTCAAGTTTAACTAACCTATAATCTTTTACATGTTTGTATTTTATGGGTTAAAAGTAGAAAGAACAGGATTTATGGCTTGCATTCCACTTGTAACAATATCAATAAAATATCAGCAAACTACTGGTGTTACAGGTAAAAATATTACAGGTTCTTCTCATCTCAAATTGTTAACCATTATTGCAGAATTTTCCTCCAATTCTTGACCAATGAAATATCAACTGATTGTGTTTTCTACAGTGTCATCACTATAAATGCTTATTTCCTTTTATTGTATCTCCTTTCCTGCCAATAAATCCAGCTCAGCGTCTATTTGCTATATGTACCCTACAAAAGCAATGAAACACAGCTCTGTGAAGTCTTGTGTCAACTGAAATTTAGTTTCTGTTTTTCCTATTAAAAAAATCATGGATATTTAGAAGTTAAAGTAACTGCTCACTCGGAATCTATAAGGCATTACATTATGAACGTGAATGATTTTGCTCAAGTCAGTAAAACAAAGTGGCACTCAGAAATATTTAGGTGTGTTTCTGTAAAGATAAGCTCAAAGATTAAGCTAAGAAGACACAAAGTTGGTTGATTTCCGAAACAAGTGACAGTTGGCTGAGCCTAAAGCCTGCTGTCAACATGTTCTTACACATTTTTCTAACATTTGTTCAAACAATAACCCCTCCTACACTTAAACTTTTCTCATAAAACAAATTAAAACAGCCATCCCGTGAACAATCATAAATAGGTAAAATAATTTGGGTAGAAATCAAAAATACATTAAATATTTCACAGGGTAACAACATAATTCACTTGATAAACATGAAGGTCTTTCAATATAAGCCATTGGTTTTAATATTACAGAATAATATCCAGATTTATTTTAAAGAATTACAACTAGAAGGAAAGCAGAACATTAGACCATCAGGGCAGACAAAACAAATCAGCAAAACCCATGCAAACAGATTGACTAGAGTAGCCCCAAAATATCAATTTGCCTTATCTGAAGTAGGGGTACACAGGCAAAGAATGAAATGCCCAAGGGAAATGAAGGGTAAGACCCACTTAAAATGGAAATCTCTAGGCCCTTGATAAAGCTCTAACTCTAAATTTTGAAAAGATTGGTTCATCATTGGCAAAGCAACTTAACTAACAGCATAATTAAACTACAGCTCTGCACTGCCCGGTTCTACCTGCTCCCCAAGATCCACAAGCCCAACTACCCCAGCCAACCCACTGCCTCCACATGCTCTTGCCCCACCGAACTCTTCTCTTCCTACCTCAACTCCATTCTCTCCCCCTTGAATCAGGCACACCCCACCTACATCCAGCACATAAACCAGGCCCGCCACCTCTTTGGTAGCTTCCAGTTCCATGGCCCCCAGCACTGCATTTTTACTATGGACGTTCAATCCCTATACACGACAATACCCCGCAAGCACGGCCTACAGAACCTCAGGTTTTTCCTCTCCAACAGACCCATCCAGTACCCCCCCACCAATACTGTCCTCTGCCTCACCCTCCATAACTTTTCCTTTAATTCTTCCCACTTTCTCCAAATCCAGGGGGTGGCCATGGCCACTTGCAAGGGCCCCAGCTATGCCTGCCTGTTTGTAGGTTATGTCAAATAGTCCCTCTTCAGTACATACACCAATACTGTTCCCCAACACTTCCGCCGTTACATTGATGACTGCATCGGTGCTGCATCCTGCACCCAGGCGGAACTAGGGCAGTTCATCGACTTTGCTAACCACACCACACTCCCCACCAACCACTCCAACCCACCCAGTACCTTTCCCTGTAACCGTAAAAGATGCAACACCTGCCCACATATAATCTCCCTCACCTCCATTCAGGACCCTAGACAGTCCTTCCAAGTGAGACAGAGCTTCACCTGCATCTCCTCCAACCTAGTCTACTGCATCCGGTGCTCCTGATGTGGTCTTCTCTACGTCAGTGAGACCAAACGTAGACCAGGTGACTGTTTCGCTGCGCATCTTCACCTGGCCTGTAATGGCCAACCTAATCTCCCAGTCACTGCCCATTTCAACTCCCACTACCTCTCCAATATGTCCGTCCTCTGCCTCCTCTAATGTCACAGCGACTCACAACGCAAATTTGAAAAACATCACCTTACCTTCCACCCAGGCACCCTACAGCCCAGAGGACTCAACATTGACTTCTCTACTTTAAAATAACCTTCCCACCCATCCCCCAGCTCCTCCCTTCCATTCCACCTTCTGACCCTCCCTTCCGGCTACCAACCAGATTCATCCCTCCCATTGGCCAACTGGGTCATACCTACTACCAGTGTCCACCTATCACCACCATTCTGCCTCCACCCCTCCCCCTGATTCTCTATCTGCAGCTCCTCCTACCCCCACATCCAGTCCTGAAGAAGGGTTATACCCAAAACGTTGACTGCTCCTTTCCTCCAGATGTTGCTGGGCTTGCTGTGTTCTTCCAGCCTCCTGTTTGTCTACACAGGTACTGCTACTTATACTTGAGTTTCACCTCTGAAGTAGCAAAAGATTGCAGGGTGCTTCACAGAAGCATTACAAATTCAAATTTGACACTGTGCAACATGTGGAAAGAGGGACTAAAACAGGTTTCAAGGACCACCTTAATTGAGAAAATGGGTAGAGAGATCAAGAGCTTTATAGAGAGGCTACCAATGGCTCAGGACTTTTGACATTATTAGCCCAGAAGCAAAGTAGCATAAATATCTCAATTGTGCACCTCCACAAGATCACAGGAAAGAAAGGTGAGGCTATGGAGGCATTTGAAAACAGAAGGAAGAATTTTAAATTGAGGCTGTTTAACCAGGAGTTCATGTAGGGTGATGAACAAAGGGAGGGCAAGAGTATAAATAAATGGGAGACAACAAGGTGCAGGGCTGGATGAACACAGCAGGCCAAGCAGCATCATAGGAGCAGAGAGGCTGACGTTTCGGGCCTAGACCCTTCATCAGAAAAGGGGGAGGGGAAGGGGGTTTTGAAATAAATAGGGAGAGAGTGGGAGGCGGATAGAAGAGGGATATAGGAGAGGATAGGTGGAGAAGAAACAAACAGGTCGAAAAGGCGGGGATGGAGCCAGCAAAGGTGAGTGTAGGTAGGGAGTTAGGAAGGGGATAGGTCAGTCCAG